AGTTGAATTATTCTGTTCACTTTCTCTTGCAGAGGAAACTTTTCCTTTGTTGTCAGACCATAGCTTTATTCCAGAGTTTCATCAGGAAATTATACAACAAGGTTCATGGGAGAATCAGGGAATGTGTGCTTGCGTCCGATTTGCTTGGGCATTGGCACTGCGTTCCTGCAGCCAGTGGCCAAATGCTGTAGGGGCAGTTGAAGTGTTGGAGGAAGACGAAGGAGTACTTGATCTGGCAATAGATGAAAGTGTGTTTGGCTTCCTTCGCTACAGTGTTCTAGGGGCAGCTAATTTTCACCAGGAGGTACATGTACAAGGACTTGTAGATTAACGTTTCAGTTCAGGAGATAAACCGTTGTAAAACTGGAAGATTGAAAACTAAAAGTCATTTACATTACATCTGCCCTGATTAAAAAATAAAACATACCTTGTCTAAGGACAAATTGCCGCCTTGGCCATACTCTCTCTCCAAGGGAATGTAGCTGGGCTAGAGGGACTGGCCACTTTAGATCATATGTAACTTAACATGGGCAAGTCCAGTAACCAATAATGAGAAGCAAGAACTAGCCTTTGTAACACTTGTATTTCAAAGCAAAGTCTTGGTCAAAGCAAAAAGAAATATTGAACTATCCTGTTTGCTTTAGTCAGTCTGCAATTCCAGGCTTAACTTGAAATGCAAGTGTACTTTGTGCAATGAAGTGGGCAGCAGGATATTGGATGTAGAATTTCAATCTTACATTGCAGGGTCGGAAATTGCACTTTCCTGGTCACCAATGCGACTAGAAATTTTGCACTTGCGACCAGAATTTCACAACTGGTTGCCAGCGGGCAATTAACTATTTCAAGCCACGATAATTACACAAACTTTGATTTTCAGCCAAATCGATTAAAATAAAATTCAAAGCCGCCCACCAATTGGTCACTTACTTTTTACCTTTCCGCTGCTTTTGAAGTGTAAAACCGATTTTCTTGTTATTATAAATCTACCACAAATTTTCACAGCTACGATCAATGCGAAGCTTCGCCGCTATGTTTTTTCAGCGGTTTCCCATAACATTCGTATTGCGGGCAAAGAAGGCCACGTGCGTTCTTTCGCCATGAATATTTATTCAGGCGATGTGGTGTCCAAAGATGTCCTGAAC